CTCATGAGAAGGTCATGTTTGTTGTTTTGTGGTGAAGACTGCAATAAAGTCATTGTTAATGAACCTAGGTTAACTTAAACCTTTTCTGTTATATATGCTGTGTGCTGAGCTGCTCTATGTTTAAAAGAAAACCACATTTTGAGGCTGATTATGTGGCTGGGAGAAATGTGAAAGCGACACAGGTGTCACCGTTTTCACAGTAGAGCTTTCATCTTCTGCCCAAGCTCGCCTGGGCCCGGCCTGGCCCAACCCGACCTAACCTGAACCTGGCGGGTTGGGTCAGGTTGGGCCAAATCAAGCTTGGGCAGAGAATCAATGCCCAATTCCTAAATATTTCCACGGGCTTGAATCAGGTCAAGTTTTTTGCCAACTTACCTGTGTGTAATGAAATTGGAAGTTCTCGTGCGTAAATGGCAGTAGCTGCATTAGACTGAATCAAGAGGGAAAGAGAGGGAGGACGGCGACAAAGAACAAGGGAGAGTGACGGAACAACGGAGCAATACTGTAGAGAACTGCACAAGAGAGAGGGATGGAAAATGATGGAAAGAGAGAGGGGCTGCATGGCGAGTTGTTTGGCAGTGTTTACGTCTGCCTCACCAGTGAGAGAGATATGCGTAACATGCAGCGGAGAGCTGTGATCATCATCCGCGTTGGCTAATCACCATGAATGGAGATGCACCGAGGGGCGCGGCCTGTGCTGCTGAACTAGTTGTTGAGTAGAGTAGAAATTTATGTTTTTAATCGGGTACGGGCCCAAAACTGCTGCTGTGGCTCAGGCTTGTGTTGGGCTTGGACAGAAACTGTACTGGCTCCTGTGAGGTATCGTGCCCGACCAAAACTCTACTTACTGCCTAACATACAGTTACATCAGTTAGCCTAATGTCAGGTCACCAACGTCGGCCAGACTTGCTTCCTGCCTACCTGTGGTACTGTTAAAATGAGTTAGAAAGGGACAGATAGCTCAGTTACTGAATTTTTTGTAAGATGACGGGAATTATCGTTAGCCAGATCAAGGCTAAGGTTCCTTTGTTAATGTTATCTCTGTAAGGGCTATGCACTATCCCGAAGTAACTTTTGGTGTTATCTATTTGGATATACACAACATCTGCCATCCTGTGGTGAATATTTTCTTCCATCGCACACTGTAGTCCTCACCATCGCCTTCTTTAAGCTGTATTGGCTGATGTCCAAAACCAATCTAATAAACACTGCGGTACTTGCTTAAATGGAAAAATTGCCGCCGTGTTTCTTTTTGGACAGGTTCTCCAACCTAGCAACAGTATCTAATGGGGGCGGGACTTTGGAGCTGTTAATTACTGAGCTTTAGACGAAGTCAAGTGAGCTGTTTCTAGTCTTTGTCTAAGCTAAGCTAACCGGCTGCTAGCTGTAGCTTCATACTCAAAGTACAGGACTGAGTGTGTTACCAATCTTCTCAGCTAACTCTCGGCAGGAAAGCCAATGAGCATATATGCTGAAAATCCCTTAAATGTCATCTAAATCACCAGATTCATCAACAAAATCAAGAGACAAAATGATGCCATTGGACGTTTCTTCAAACATATGTCATTTGCAGGTTATTGTGTTACGTTGAAACTTGACGTTTCTTTGCTTTTCAACACGTGGTTAAAGTGTTGTTAGGTGTAGGCACAAATGTCACTTGGATATGGTTAAGAAAAGATCATGTTTTGGCTTAAAATACCCAGTTGTGGGGGCACAATCCCGGCTTAAAAGGCAACAATGTCTCGGTAATAAACAACTGCCTTTTGTGCCACTATTTTGGCAGGAAATGCAGAGATGACTTGGTAAAAGCCAAAGACTTTTTGTGCCAATATACCACCAGGAAATGCAGCAATGTTTCAGTAAAAAACACCCATGTTTAGTGCCTAAAAATCTGCTGAAAACACAGCAATGACCCCCTATATCACAACTGGTTTTGTTGCTTGTTGGTCTTGAGTAGCTGTGGGTTTTCTCTCTGAACTGGGGCCATGATTAAGCCGGGGGCATTCGTATTGTGCTGCTAGAGGTGAAAGTCTTGGACCGGTGCAAGATGGACAAAAGCAAAAACATTTGCCAAGAATGTTCTCATTATCAAGGAAAGATGATGACACACCATCCGCGATCCTCTCCACCTCCCAATGACAAAGTCAGCTCATGTACTTCATCACTCACTACGTTAATATGATGCATAAGAATCTTGCAAATGTAAGGTATTTGTGGTTTGCAGGAACAAACAACGCCAACATTTCCTCCTGGCGACTGGGCTGGATTTATCCCAAACAATTTGCCATTGCGTTTCGTGCACCTTCCAGGACAGAAACCAGGACATTGTTCAAACTTTTCACGAGCTTTAACCCTCTCCAAAACATGTGTGACACACTCTCTTGGCTGAGCTCGACCCAGACGTGACACTATTTTCAGTAAAAGCACCATAGTAACACACTTCCCAAGCTGCCTGTGTGTTACTGGGTTAGATCTTTTCCTCGTTGTGCAACACACTAAATGCCTCAATCCCTTGTTCTCAGTTCCCTTTAAGCCCTTGATAAGGAAGTGGACTGAATTTTTTTTTTGTCCATTTCAGCGAAAGTGACCTAAAAGACGGCGGGAGATAGGGGAGGTATGTGTTACAGTACAATAGCCAGTAAATCTCTCTGCAGTAACCACACCAGAGCACTGAGCACATGCTTATAGAGGGAGGCTAATCAGCTTTCTGCAGATGGGCTAATGTCCTTACAGTGGCTGAGAGGGGGGCCTATATTTAGCGTCCACTCTCTCCCTCTTAACAAGGGATAACATTGGCCATGTTCTCCTCCCCATAGCTCATCTCTCTCTGCTTAAATTCAGCAGGAGGCCCATACAGGCAGACATGAAGGAGAGCAAGTGATGATGGCATAAAGCTGTGCAGTCACAGTGACACTAAAGGGGAGCTTTGAAAAGCAGTGTGTCGCTTAAAGAAACTGAAAGTTGGAAATAAAAAAGAGAGAAAAAAGCAGTATAACAAAGAGTCAGACAGAAGAAAGAAAAAACATAAAAGAGATCATGAAAGAGAGGCTGAGGAAAATATTTTTTTCTTAATGTCAGCATGGAAAGTGACATCTGGAGGCTGAGGCCTTCGGGCATTAGAGTAATGCAGACCTGGAGCCAATCTACTCAGTCAGTTACCATGTGTCCCTGGAGACCAAGGCTCTGCTGGTAGTAAGGTCTGTGCACACACACGGCATCTACCTGCTGTTGGAAAGCTAAGAAGGGAAGACCCGAGGAAACCTGGCGTCAAACAGTGGAGAGAAAACTGAAAGCCCCGATGCAGGCCTGGGGTAACATCCAAAAGACAGGAGTGGAAATCCTTTGTTGCCGCCCCACATGCCAGCAGGCATAAAGGCCAGCAACTAAGTACCTGCTGTTGCAATTACACTCGCAGCTAATGAGGTCCGGCAAACGGTGCGATGACGGCTGCTGACGCTCGTTGTGACGTCTCTTGGAGGGGGAACCCGTCAAGCTCAGCTGTGACTTGTTGGCAGCAGCAGCCGTGCCCTCTGGGACCGAACAAGCATCTCAGGACATTGACCTAATGAAGACTTCCTCTGTCTGTCAGACCTGGGCAGAAAATCCTAAATGCCAGAGCTGTTTACCTGGACTAAACTGAGGTTGGTTAAGGTCCTGTCTACATGTATACAGATATTAAAATATACAGATTAAAAAAAAAAATCTGTCAACACAACCCTTGTTTTTTAAAATATCTCCGTCCACACTCATTGTCTTTAGCCGTCTCCCACAGTACAAAGGTAGTACCTTTTTTCGACAACCCTTTGTAGAGATTTCATCATCATTAATTCCCCTTTAACATAAGGACAAAGGAGTTCAATCAAGGATACGAGGGATGCTCTGAACATGTGGACATTTTTCTTCCACTCTTCACTGACATTAACCACACTCTCAAAATTGTCCCATTTGCTAGTTCAACTGGGCCTGATCCAGAACCGCTGTTTCTGGTGGACTTCAAACTGATGGGTCCGTTAGTCCGTGAAGTGGTGCAGCAATATGAAGTTGAAATGTAAGTCGCGATTAGTCCGAGCAGTGCTAACAAAACATAAACAAACCAGTAAGTTAGTCCACTGTTGTTACTGTTTTTGCATGTGTGCACGGCATGTTGGGAATTAAAGAGATGCTCCGTTTTACAAAATGAAAGGAAGCAATCAGAGTTTTCAAAAATCTGCACCTTAGAAGGCGTTTTAAAAAAATATGTTTTAGTGACTTAAAACTCAGTTTGCGTGTGGACGAGACGCCAAAACGTAGAGGAAAATATCTAAAAATATCTGAATACATTCAGACAGGGTTTGAGGCAAAATGTGTAAAACGCTACGGAGCTAGAACAGTGGCAGTAAGTTTTGGCATTGAATTAAAAGAAAAAATGCCAGTAAAAAATTAAACAGGTTGAAATAAGTTCCACTGAAAGATAACGTCCTGTATACTGGTGAGCCAAAGACAATTTTCCACCCTGGTGGACAATAAAGATTTATTCTATTCTATTCTAAAACACAGAAATTAAAAATTATTTTATTTTCATATTTTTTGGCTTTTTTTTTCTTTGCGTCACTATTTTTTCAGTCTTTTTTTTACTTACAGTATTTTTATATTTATTAAGATTTATTATTTATTTTTTTTAGTTTTAACTTTCTGTCATTGTGTTGGCGTGGAGAGGAGTTTGTGGGGAGGGGAAAAGGAAATCTTGATTTACATAGAATCTGCACACTGAGGAGAGGACGTCTCTTCTTGGCACAGTCCTTCAAGAGTGACATGTTGAAAAAATCTGAAGCCTAAAAACTCATCAGAATTTTATAATAAATAAATGAATTTTTAATTCCTGTTTCATTTTTCAGTGAATTTTTTGTCAGTGCTAATTTTTTATTTAACTGTTCTGGCTCCAGAAAACCATCATGGAGATTGTTAATGTAGCTTGTAGTGTGTGTGTGATGACAATAATACAAAAAATTAAACTGAACAGCTTTTGTCTGTTGGCCTTTTTTTGCTTTTAATTCTCAAGTTGATCAACTTGAACACATTTATCAGATCATTATTTTCATGTCCCAACAGGACAGCAGTTAGAAACAACACATACAACAGTGAAACAATCTCTTTAGAGCAACAGAAACCCATATGAAACAGCTCCGAGCACACGTACTGTACAATGAACACAAGCTAAATCTGCATCTCAGCAAAGCCGCCGTGTCCACCTGCGCTGCTCATCAGCCAAAATAAAACACAAATTTGCACATGCCACAAAATACTCAACAACACAGCTTTGAATCTGCCTGCTACATCAGCCGAACACAAACTGTACAAAAATAGAGATTGATAGAAAAATAAGAGATCTGACATGTTTGAGAGAATACGCTGAGTCTCTTGCACTTGTAAAGCTGAAACTGTATATTTTCATGATTATCACAAAATATCTACTTGTCTTATTGCCCTTCAAAAATCCGTCTGATGGTCCTTATCTGTCTTCTACATTTTTTACATACTATTTCCTCACTGTTGAGTGCTTTCCCGTGCTAAGGAGGGATAGCATTTCGACAGCTGTTATCTGCTCACGCAGCCCAAATTTCCACACATCCCAAACTTTGACTCTTTTCCATATAAAAGAGAAGAAGAAATATACGTCGGCCAAAATTCATTGGGCTTACATCATCTTTGAAGCTTTTCAGGCTTCTTGCAGCACATTTGCTGAGAGTATTTTCCTCTGCTGGACCTGTGACAGTAGTATGATTCTGCTCCATTCAAGTGTTGCTCCGCTGCTATATCCCTGCGTACACAACCCGGCCTCCACCCCTATGACAAACCAGTTTGTTGCATTACTGTGAGGCCTGCAGTTGTTTGCAGACGACTCGTTCTCTCTTACACATGGAAACACATTTTACAGTGCATGTCAAAATGACTGTGTACAAATTGTGTACAAAAATTACCACTTTATATTTTTGATGAGAGGAAGAAAATATAAAATTATTATATTTAAGTGTATAAAATGTTTCCAGTGTAATCTGAGAAAACTGGTTGTCCCTGTTTCAGAATGCATTTCAAACACTTTGTTGCTCTACTTTATGTTTTTATGTATTTGAGACTTCACGGTACCCCTGTGGACTTCATCAACCTCTAGCAGTGCTGTTAGGGCTGTGTAACGATAAAAGTACCCTTAAAGTGACACCGCTAAAAAAAGAGTATTTCATTCAGCACTTATTTGGAGAGAGTATACAGCCACACTTTTGAATGTTTTGGTGGTATCTTGGCACCGGAACTGCCAACTCTGTCAAATACGCTGCGCTCCCCATCACGACACTACAGACTCTATGGATTATAGCTGCTGCTGCTGGTCACGCAGACACGTACGCAGCTCTGTTCACTGTATGACAGCTCCCCACAGTAAATAGGAGGGCGGGGAGGTGAGCTTATCGTCCTCCTGCTGCCGATATTGGCTGAAAGTGAAACGATGCTGCTGGATCTGTGAAATATCCAACTTTAAACTGACTTCACCGTGGTGAGGTGACTGCGGCTGGCTTGACAGCAGTGTTTCGGACTGGACTGGAGTGTGGAGCATGTGCAGTCAGCCTGGTTATTATGTCTACAGTCTGCATGGCCACAAACAATGGGCTGCATATGCAACATTACATGGCTAACATTACCTGATGTTATTAACGGGTTTAAAGATTGAGTCGAGGCCGTTTTAGTTTCGGTATGCGTTTGCTGGGCCCCTTAACGGCTTGGTGTTGGATGTTAGCCGCCGCTGCTGCTGTGTTAGCGCTTGCTAACTGGACAGACGTTGGACTGACTGTTTGCTAAGAAAGAGAGAAAGTTTGCTAGTCAGACTCCAGGTGCAAAAAGGATTGAATGCAGTTATCGTTTGACTGGAGACATTTCAATACCACTTACTGCTGGGTTATTTCAGTAGTCACGTTGAAGGCATTGAGTACTGATACGCAGCCCCGAGCACTATGGAGCAATTTTTTTCCAGTAAGTCCTTGTTTGTTTGTAAAACAGTAAAGTTGTAAAGAAGACGCCTGCTGGCTAGCAAACACGTATGTAAACAATGCACGGTTTAAAACATTTCAAAAGTCGGCTTCGAGGATGGTTTAGGGGGAAATCACAATATGTGTTTTGGTGAGTAAGACTAAAAGTAAACTTCACATTTGTTTGTTTACAAAACTCCACAGGGCACCTGTAAAGGTCCAGTGTGTGCAGGGTTCATGGGCATGTATATGAAGAATTTCATACAATATTCATTATAATGTTTTAATTAATTTACAATCACCTGAAAATAAAAACTGTTGTGTTTTCATCACCTTAGAATGAGACGATTATATCTACAAACGCAGCAGTTCCTCTTCCAGGGAGTCCACCATGTTGTTCTACAGTAGCCCAGAACAGACAAACAAACACCAGATGTGGGACCAGTTCAGTGTTTCGCAAGTCACATGAAAGTCTCAAGTCTTTGCACTGAAGTTCCCAGTCCAGTCCCAAGTCACATTAGGCAAGTCCTTAAATCTGCTAAACAAGTCATAATGCACTCTTTGCCAAATTTAACGCCATTTAACAACAAAGTAACAATTAAATTAATAATAATAATAATAATAATTAAATTCACAAAAATCATTATTTTTTATTTTGTATATATATATTTATGTAAATATATATAACACATATATTTGTGTCTGACTGAACTTAATCAGAAACAAAAGTAATGCTGACATGTACTTTTATAGCATAGTAACTATGAATTTTGTATGTTTCCGTCCTGTATTGTTGTATTTAACTCATCTTTACCATTATCATTTTATTGGATTTAAAACATGCCAAAGGACTGCAGTCGAAAATTAGCCAGCTGGCTAACACTGGCACATTTACAGAAATACTGAATAATGTGCGTTGTCCTTATGAGTAAAAGAAAAATCTCAGAATGGAAAAATGTCTTTAACTTTTTCTTTCCACATTAGTTTGATGGAAAGAACCAAGTATCTTCAAGTCAAAAGGCTAAAGTCCAAGTGAAGTCACGAGTCATTGGTGTGAAGTGAGGTCACAAGTTGCAAGTCTTTTTTGATTTTGCCCAGTCGAGTCTCAAGTCATCAAATTTGTCACTCAAGTCATGTGACTCGAGTCCAAACCCCTGCCAAACACTCATTTCAGATAGGGTCATTAACATTTTTGTGATGGCAAGAGTTGTTCTACACTTCTGTCACATGGGACATGTTTCAGTTCTGCTGCCTCCCTGCTACAGGCCACTAAATCCTTCACACTGGACCTTTAAGTAAGATTAAGTTTTATATTTGAAATCTGTCCATTAAAATGCATTTTGCATCTACCAAAGTGTACAAGAACACTTCAACATGTTGCTCACATGCATTTTGATATGGGCCTACATATGATGAAACTGTAGTTTGAAATGCATTATGGGTAAAACCTTTACATATCCAAATACATTTTTTTATGTAGGATTTCACCCCCTAACAGGTAACTTCATTATCTCCTTGCTTTGATAAACAGCTTTTGGGTTTTCAAGTTGTGCACCTTATTTTGCAATCCAATAAAACTGCAGATAAGAGCAGATGATGAGATTATGTTGCTACTTCCTCTTTGGTAATCAGGATGTGTGTTCAGCGAGCAGGACCGCAGATAACAGCAGAGTCTCGAACTAAACATTGTCAAAATAAAAACAGTTGTTTGAAAGCCTCCCTCAGTGTAAGAGACCTCACTCAGCGTAAGTAACTCTCTGTGCCACAGTACATTCATTATCACCTTGAAGATCAATGAGACAATTAGACGACTCAACTCTACGATAAAGAATCACAAAAATATCTTTTCCCTTTAGGCTCTTTCTAGGCACTTAAAGAAAATTATTCCTGTACAGAAATAAAGCATGCATTGTTCTGTTGTTTTTTTTTGTTTTGTGTGTGTGTGTGTGTGTGTGTGTGTGGGTGTGTGTGTGTGTGTGTGTCTCAGAATTCAGATAAAGTTGAGTATCAAAGTAGATCTTTGGATTTGTAAACAGTATCCAGTTCCTCATTTTGCATTGTCTGTGAAAAAGAGTCCTGTGCAAGCACATGGGAAAGGTCAGAAGGTTGCAGTTGTTGTTTGACCATAAATCAATACCTTCAGTACGTCATGTGTGTCCTCCGTTACTCTCTGCGGCTGTGTGTGAGTTTGTTTTGGTTGTTAATGCGAAGAGGATGCCGATATCATACATGTTCATTACTTCAAATGTGAGTTCCTTAAAATATGATCATATCCAGGCTGTCGTCGACCTGATCGACGAGGGTCGATCAGGTCGATCTTGATGTGAGAACCCTATAAGTGATAGGTCAGCTGCTCTTATTGGCGTCTCTCCCTGTGTGCTCAGCTCCTCCTGCTGTGACACTCTACCCCCGGGAGAAGCCTTTCTCTGGCCCACGGCCGTGATCCAACTTCCTTGTCCTCATTTCCCTTCCTTCCTTTATTCTCGTCTTTTATCTGTCTAATTTTGTCCCATGTTCTTCCTTCTCTCATTTCCCTCAATTTCCCATCTCAAGGAGAAGAGATAAAAAGGATCCATCCCTTTTAAGGAGGTTCCACCAGTTACACAAAAGCGCATGGACGTGCAGAAAGATTAGTTACAGGGCAACCAGGTGGCGTACATGGGATGGTGCTGAGGGGGGATGTACTGCTGAGGAGGGGAGGGAGGACAAGGGTAGATAGGCTGAACCTGCGCTACGTAATAGTTGCTGAAGTTGCCATCTGAGACATAAGGAGCCGGCTGGTAGAAGCAGGTGACATTGGCGGCGTTGGGGATGGCGTTCTGTTCGGCCAGGACCCGCAGCGCCAGCGATGAGATGAGGCTGAGCGTCTGACGCCTCTCGTGGCCCATCAGGCACACCGTGCTCTCCTGCACCACCTCGTACAGCGTGGCCAGATAGTCGTACTTCCTGTCCTCCAGGTCTACAAAGTGATTCTGCAGGTAGGACTCGAGCTTCCTCCTCTGCTCGCTCACGTCGGGAAAGTCTATGAAGAAGCGCGAGCACATGTAGCGCTGCAACAGCTTCATCTCAGCGTCCGAGGCTGCGCGGAAACCCCGCACCAGCAGGTGGCAGTACTTCAGCAAACCCCCACCTCGAATCTCCTCGGGACTTCTGGTGCAGATGAGGCGCTTGCGCAGGTGATCAAGGGCGGTGGGGAAGTCGCCATAGACACTCTCCCCGAGGATCGTGGGGTGGAAAGTCGCAGCCATGGGGTGCTCCGAGCACTCGTAGAAGAGAAGAAGGGAGTCCAGGCGGATCTGGAAGGAGTCCACGCTGAACTCAAACTGCCTTCTAAGAGAGTCCACGAACTTGAGCTCCACGTTCTTGCCGCGGTTGTTGGAGAGTGAGATGAGACTCCAGCGGTCTGAGTCGTTGCAGACTTTCACCATCTTCTGCACGTAGGCCTCCTAAAACACACACGAATCAAACATTAGGTTCACCAAGTCTAATGTGTCTCGTTTGTGCAAGTTTTGAATCGATGACTGAAAAATGAAGTCAAGAAATTAAAGACATTGGGCGTTTTCAGACCAAACACATCTGGGGACTCTCTGAGACGAACCACCCGCTGGGCAGCTCCCCCAAGACCTTCATACCTCCACAGTCTGTTTTTGTGTTTGCATTTGCACTGCCAATAGAAACACTGAAGTAACACACTGTAAGAGCGCTGATGGTTGATATAGCACCGTCACTGGAATTGGAATTTGCAAAGTCGCACATATCGTACTCTCTCATTGTTTGTCAGCTAAGTTATTTTTTTGTGTTGACGTCTCATTAGCTCTTAATCTTGTTTGTAATAAAATATAGGGATGTCAAAAATTAACCATTAATCAGTTGACTGCAGAGAATATTTTTGACCCATTACGCATCTCAGTCAAACGTTAATTTTGCTAACGTCACTGCTGGTAATGTCTCGACCCAACAACGTTGCTGTGGGAACCTTGTGCCCACCCTCCAGTATCCCACCAATGTTGCCCCAGTGAGTAAGTGGCTAAGTTTTGAGGCACATGCCCCCTTTAGCATTGTTGACTGTCGTTGGCTCTATTAGCACCGTTAGCAGTGTCAGCATGGCTAGGGGTGCTAACATACTTAACAATGCTACAGTGGTTTTGTAGGGCACCAGCCAGGTTTGGGGTGGGAGCTAGCTAGCAGCGCCATTCACTTGGCAATCAACATCACTGCTGGTAATGTCCTGACCCAACAATGTTGCTGTGGAATCCTTGTACCCGCCCTCCAGTCTCTCCCCTTGTCACCTGAGTGAGTAAGCAGCTCAGTTTTGAGGCACAAGCCCCCTTTAGCGTCGTTAACTATTGATAACACCATTAGCAGTGTCAGCAAGGCTAGTGGTGCTACCATAGTTAGCGATGCTAAAGGGGGATTTGGCTTGCTTAGGGCGCAGGATATGCTAGGTCTGGCACTGTGTCCATTTGTTCATGTTTTCTTCCTTTTTTTATGTTACCAGCTGTTGTTTGTGTTTTGTGTTATTTATTGTTTACACAGCTAACTTTATTTTCTTTAAATTGCGTTACCGGTGCTGCACTGGTTGCATTTGACCAATCAATGTACATTTACATCACAAGCTAAAAAAGTCCACTAAACAGCATTCTCAGAACTACAAACACTCCTAGTCCTTAGGGTGCAGACACAGTAAAAAGGGGGATTCTTCAAACTAAGAGAAAGTCCCTGCGGTCCGAAAAGGCCTATTGTTGGAAATAATAGTTACACAATGGTGGATACAGGTAGATATAACTTCCATATTCATACTCATAAATCAGAGAACACACATGCATGTAGTTAACAGTTGACTATGTGTTTAAGTTATAAAGGCTACTGGAACATAATCAGAACAAATAACAGGCTACAGTGGTGAGTGTCAGATTTTCTTTTTTCCATCACACAGAGGCCTTCTGCCTTTTCTCTGTCGAACCCACTAACTCCTCCTCCTCTTCTCTTTTCCTACTTTCACTGCTGTAATATAGTGTTAGTTTTTTTGCACCAGTGCATCAAACTGCCTTATTCTTCTGAAAACACCATGAACCCGTGGTGATGTTTAAAAATGATTAATCTTACACAGAGATCTTCTGGATTAAAAAAACTGCCTTAGTTTGGCTTCAACAGCCGGACATTAATGCTATTTGCAGCAGATAAAAATCTTGGATTCAGTCTGTTAGTCATGATGTTTTTCTGATCACATCTGTTGGTGGGCCATTAGTAGCCTGGGTAGTCCTCTGTATCCAGGTAACTGCGGTCCGACTTATTAATGTGGATCCTACTCCAATTGGATTAGACAGAATCCTCTTTGAATTGGAAACCAACCTTTTTACTATTTGAAGGCTCATATCTCTGAAGGCCTGTAGAGTGTATTCAGGGCAGATCTCAATACTGTTTTTGCAAGATTTATTTACATTTAAAGTGCATTTGCAGACAGAAAGCGTGTGCATGACTGGGAAACTCACATCAAATCAGCAGTGTGTGGTGTGTAACTAAATGTGTATGGAAGTAAAGATGTTCACTATGTTTTTTTTGTCAGGTTAAGTTTGAAAATTAAAAGAAAAAATCATATGAGTTGTAAGATATAAGTCCATACATTACCTTTAAGGTCACTGGTGTGATCTTTTCTTTATTCACTCCCTCGGGCAAGAAGTCCAGCAGAGAGTCCAGCACTATATCTTTGACTATCTGAAACTCCATCTCTCCCTTCAGCTCGGCGCAGAATATCAAGTCCAGATCTTTCCACCCCAGCCCGCTGTCCTCGTGCAGGACGTAGCTGGCCGCGGAGCCGTTCAGTCGCACCTCCCGGACATGTATCCGCTTCTCCTCCATGCGGCTCCGGACCACCTTCACGATGTCCCGCGGCTTCACCTCCAGAGTGGGGAAGCTCCAGCGGCCGTGGATGGGGATGGAGCCGGTGAGGATGGTGTCCAGCCGCTGCACTTGCTCCCAGTTGAGCACGCTGAGGCTGATGCTCTCCCCGTCCGAGCAGCTGTCGGCCGCCGCACACTCAACACTCTCGTCCATGTTGAGAAGAGGTAGACAGAAGGATGTAAACGGTAAAACTTTCCACTAACTCCTGCTGGAGCAGTGGCATAAGTCAGCTGCAACTTTGTGAAGAATTAAACGTTCAGAGCTGATGGCGATCATAACAACGAGATGCTGGACGGCCGAGCGTCTCTACGCATGACGGAAAGAACTAACTGGGCGGTGTTATGTCTGTCCTACTTCTTACATAAAGTCTGCAGCCCAGACAAATTCAATTCATGAGCTTTCCAGCCGTAAGGCTTAGTCACTGTCCAGCATCTGCTGCCCCGCTGCGCGTTTCGCTCCGCTCCGTCGCCAAACTCTGGAAACCAGACATCCACTGTAAAGAAAATGAAACGACTCTTCTTCACTTTGTCAGCTTCTCACCACGTCTCGGAGGCTCACTGACGCATCCATCGCGGCCGAGCAAACGTCTCATCCACCGCACAAGTTTTACTTGTGTCTTCGACTCACTTTTACGCACAGATTATCGCGCGTCCCTGCTGTGCAACAACTTTACGCATTCGTTTTTTAAGACGGCTACACCTCTCCACTGCACACCTACTTTCACAAAGTGGTGTTCGGCTGCTTTTTATTTACATTTTGGCCGTTTGTTGCTCGTTGATACTGCGTGACTCCACAGAGGTCCCACTCCACAGCTGCTGGAGACGTTGTGAACAAAGTGCTTCCCGTCTGAGGCGTGGGGGCGGGTCGCGTTGATTGACAGCCCACACCTACTAATAGCTACCGCCGCTTCCCATGGTTACTTTGAGTGGCTGTAAGACCGGAGACTGAGGCGTGTCTGGGGAATGGGCGCAACGAGAGAGGAGAAGGAGACAGATTGGACACTGACCCCCTCATCAAAAACTTTTCTCGCTTTGAATCGGTTTCTCGGCTCTCCTTCTTTGGAGATGCCAAGGAAGCAGACACCCCATCACTGCCCTGCAATTAGCATCATCAATAAGGGCACTGTTCACACTTCTGCTCGTTATTATTCAATTTGACTTTTACCTGGTACAGTTATGATCCAAATAGTTGCTGCACAAGTTTCCCTTTCCCAAATAGCGTGCACAGTCACATATAATAAAACTCACTCTGGATGACAGCAAAGTGTAAATCATATCTTATATTATAGCTCCTCAGGAGTCTGATCATTCATAGGTGAGGCTGGTTACACACACACGCACGCACGTACGCACGCCCTCTAGAGGTGGTTTTTCACCCTCTATCATTGGCCCTGCAGGCATTTGTGAGCACCAGCACACAGTTACTTCACACACTTGAAACTAAATTGCAGACTGGTTTATCACCAGTATGTAAAATTGAATTAATGAACAATTCAATGAAAAATATCTGTCTTTAGGGCGTGTTTGTGATGGACACCTCTGACATGTAGGGCGTGAGCCGTCTGTCAGTATGTAGGCTATAGGCCACATCGTCTCTGCTGGTCAGTTGTCATGAAGAATCTATCAGCGCAGAGCTTGGCGCGGAGACCTGCGTCACTGCAGACGAGCCCATAAACCAGCTTACCGCAGATTACCCTGTATGTGCACACGTTCACACAGAGACATGCAGGCATGCGCACATAGACGCGTATGTGCACGCTTACACCTCTGCAGATAATGCTTGTGCCACTTTGTGGTGTTATTACTACAGCTCTGTGCATCATAAAACATTGGCAAACACACACTGTGCATACTTTCACACGCAGTAGTTTAAAACCTGTGATATCTGAAAATGTCTGTATCTGATAACACTTGATCTGCCAAGCACTCCAGCCACATGGGCATAGATATGACATGCAATAGTCTATGTCTTTTAAAATAAGGTGCTTAGGTCAAATTTACTGAGATAAAAAGCTGTGTTTATCTATTCAGTGAAGTGCATGGGTGTTGTTTTCACTTCTTTTTTTTAGCGAGTCGTACTGGGAAAATGGAGAGCAAAGCAGTAAGTATGAGATAAACAAAGATCACTATCACAGTTCTGTATGTAACTTCTTTTAAAAAGATTATTTCATGAGAGTTTTTGTCTTTAATGACAGGATAGGTTTTTTTTTTAGGTGTGAGGGCGAATGACATGCAGCACGGGGCTGTGGGCTGGAATCAAACCTGAAGCCACTGAAGCGAGGACACTGCCTTTGTACATGGTGTGTCCATCCTACTTACTGAGCCACTGGGTGCCCCATGCATGTAAATTTTAACATGCATTGAGTTTGTTTTATTGCCACTAGGTGAACAGGTTGTAATGTTTCTGGGAAAATCAAAAGGATGTGACATAATGTGCATTCCTGTGCCTTACATCTCCTCAGCTCCACCACAGACCTAAGTGTGCAACCGCAGCTAACATTAGCTAAGAAATGGAGTCCACCACTGTCACCAATCGACCAGCACTCACCACAACACGGAGTCAACAAATGTTGTGTGATGTGAAGACAGAGCTTCACGTCATGCCATGTAGCAGCAGGAATGTGCAGTGTTCGAATTCAGCCAGAGCAAGGCCAAGGGTCAGATGACTGGGCCACACTGCCTGCATACTAAACCGCTGTGGCTCACATGCATGGGGGTGTTCACACAGATAGCGTTGCTGCTGCGGTGCTGCTGCTATGAGTACTGTATTTCTTTAAGATAATTTTTTTGGGGGATTTTTGCCTTTTTTTTGGATAGGATAGTCTAAGCATGAGAGAGGTGGGGATGACATACAGTAAAGGGCTGCCAGCTGGAATCAAACCCACTGCCTTCATATATGGGATGCCTGCTCTACCCACTAAGCCACCGGGTGCCCCATAATTACTCTATTTCCACAATTAAAAGCCGATACTTCACAAATTTATGGGGTCATGTAAGCAACTGCATTGTTAGCAACACAGTCCTGCAATAATTCAGCCTTGTGTTAACAAATGAAGTTATTCTGTCGACAGAAACATTGTCGGATGGCTTTTCATTTGAAGAGAAAAACGGGAAGTGTTGAGTTAAAAAGAAATATTTATTTTTTTTCATGTCTGTGACGGATTAAAACATTGAAACTGCAGTAAAAGGTGGCGTTATGTCAGTGTGATCATCAAAAGACCATTTTCACTGTCTATTTTCTGAGAACTGTGTGTGTCACATGGAAAAAAAATGGGCGAGCCTCCGACTCTTTAGGTGCTCTAAAGCTGAGCAGGAGGAGGACCATGTCTGAGCACCACTGTTTACATGGGCAGTGTCGCTGCTCTAACCTGTTAACATGGATGCCGGGACAGCCTCTATCTTAGCAAGTAGAGCGCCCCCCCCCCCCCCCCCCCCCATGTAGGCTGAGTTCTGCAGCGGCCTGGGTTTGACTCCAACCGTCAGCCCTTTGCTGCATATCATCCCGTTTCTCTTCCTGTCACTCTCTAGCTGCACTGTAATTAAGGTAATAAAAGCCCAAAAAATAATCTTAAACAAACAAACAAACAAACAAACAATCAATCAATCAATTTTATTTATAAAGCCCAATATCACAAATCACAATTTGCCTCACAGGGCTTTACAGCATACGACATCCCTCTGTCCTTATGACCCTCGCAGCGGATAAGGAAAAACTCCCCAAAAAAACCCCTTTAACAGGGGAAAAAATGGTAGAAACCTCAGGAAGAGCAACTGAGGAGGGATCCCTCTTCCAGGACGGCTCCGGAGAAGAAGCCGAGTTAGTGACATCCAGAATGGCCGAGTTAGCAAGATGCAGTAATAGGATACGAGAGAGAGAGAGAGAGAGAGAGAAGGAGACAAGGTGCCCGGTGTATTATAGGGGGTCCTCCGGCAGACTAGGCCTAAGTCAGCCTAACTAGGGGCTGGTACAGGGCAAGCCTGAGCCAGCCCTAACTATAAGCTTTATCAAAGAGGAAAGTCTTAAGTCTAGTCTTAAATGTGGAGACGGTGTCTGCCTCCCGGACCGTAACAGGAAGATGATTCCACAGGAGAGGAGCCTGATAGCTGAAGGCTCTGGCTCCTGATCTACTTTTGGAGACTTTAGGGACCACGAGTAACCCTGCGTTCTCAGAGCGCAGTGTTCTGGTGGGATAATATGGCACTATGAGCTCTCTAAGATATGACGGAGCTTGACCATTTAGAGCTTTATAAGTTAACAGTAGGATTTACAAACAAAAACATGGATGGGGTTCCACGATGCACATGCACTGCTCACACAGGCAGCGTAGCCTGGGTGTGAGCGCCAGGGGTTGGATCCTGAACTGCCCTCTCTCGAGTCCCCGCCAGATCAGCAAACTTTCTGTTGCTGTTGTTACACTGGTTAGACTCTGGGTCGATGTCGGGGTGCTCACTCTCAGCTACAGAGTGGGAAGACAAGCAACAGGATGCTGACTGCAGTTTGCTTAACTGTCTCAGAGAGAGGTCTAACTATTAACACTACTAATAACACACAGAACCTTTAAGGAAAAAATAAAATGACTTAATTGCAATGCTAAACCGGAAACTTTACAAACCAAGTCACAGACAATTTTGTAACACCACTTCCAGAGTGAGGACAAAGTAGCTCTGTTGTCTGACAGAAGGCAGCAGGTCAATCACACTCTGCACTTTCTCCATTCACCAACGGGCTCAATGTCAGGCTTACTGCTGAGGATGCTTACCATGAAGCTGCTACTTACCTGACCTCTGACTTGTCAAGTGGATGACACTGGCTTGGTTTCCAATGTCTGACGACATCAGAGGATTGGCAAGGGGATTTCAGACAGACCCCTTGTCGGACTGCCAAAACAGTCACTACATACGGGAACAAATGTGTGTGTGTTAGTTTGTGTAATCTGTATCAGCCAAATGTGTGTATATCCCTCTTTGTGCTCAGAAACGTGGCAGTAAATGAACTTCTTTAAAAAAGTCAGACACACACGTCATTTCATCGATGGCTATCTGCTTTCTGATCACTTGTAACGTATCTCCTTCACCCGTCTTTTTCTACCAATCCCTTCTTCCCTCCCTCTATCCTATCCCACTCTTCTTCTTTTGCAGCTTGTCGTCTTTTCCACCATTCCCACACGCAGAAGTTCATTACGAGATTACAGTGAGCCCGTTAGCTGAACGTGCCTCCTTTCTCCTCCCTCCTTCCCTTTCCCACCTCACTCTCTTAGCACCAACAACTATTTTTACTCTTTTGTCTGGATTTCCATTAGGCGGGTCCATGACCCAACGTGCACTCTTTACTTGGGACATCTAACAAGTACTTGTCTCCACTTCTGTACCAGTACAGTCTGGGAAGTAAAATAAGTCTTTACAATCATCTTTTGTTTGCACTGGTAGAGGCTAACTTGTCCCACAAGATTATAAAGCCAAACCCTGTTCTTTTTTCCTAAATCTAACCACATGTTAGTTGTTGAAGGATAAAACGTCAATTTGCGGTGTTTTTTTTTTTTTTTTTTTTGGACGTAGTGCTTTTATTTTGAAAGAGACTGTATGCAAACAGTAAATTTCCTGTGAATTTTGAAAGAAGACAATGCATGTAACAGGCAGAACTTGACATGGTGTCCCAGAACGTCAACAACCAACACACCCAGGGTGCCTTGCACGTCATATGTGGACGTGGAAAGTCCATGACCAAACATCGATATGTGACGAGGTCGGAGTGAGAATGGTTAGTTTAATATTAAATTATGTGTTTCAGTGCATTGTTGAACGTCAGTGTTTG